TGGTTGGATGGTCCCAATGGGTGTTGGAGGACCCATGGGTGCTCCTGGGGACCAGGGAGACCCTGGGGTGGTAGAAGGGTCCCAATGGGTGTTGGGGACCCTTAGGTGCTCTTGGGGACACAAGACACCCTGGGGTGGTTGGAGGATCCCAGTGAGTGTTGGGGACTCTTGGGTGCTCTTGGGGTCACAGCAGACCAAGAGGTGGTTGGAGGGCCCTAGCGTTGGTTGGGGGACCCTTGGGTGCTCTTGTGGACACAGGAGACCCTGAGACGGTTGGAGGGTCCCAATGGGTGTTGGGGACCCTTGGGTGCTCTTGGGGACACAAGACACCCAGGGATGGTTGGAGGGTCCCAATGGGTCTCTGGGCACCCTTGGGTGCTCCAGGCACCCCGTGGACCCGTCTCATTGTCCCCGCAGCTACGACGTGGTGTTCGCCGGGGGGCCCCGTGAGCTCCTGGCCAAGTTTGGTGCCTCGGGCCACCGGGTGCTCTTCTCGGCCGAGGCCTTCTGCTGGCCCGAGTGGAGCCTGGCCGAGGCCTACCCGCCCGCGGGCACCGGCAAGCGCTACCTCAACTCCGGGGGTGCGTCCGGGGGCACCCATGGGTGCCACTGCCCACAGGGTGGTGCTTGGGAGTGGTTCGTTGAGGGAAACGTTGGGTTTTGGGTTCGCCAAGGTCGGAGAACCTGGTTTTTGGGTACTCCTGGGCTACTTCAACTCCGGGGGTGCGTCCGGGGGCACCCATGGGTGCCACTGCCCATGGGGTGGAGCTCAAGGGCCATTCGTTGAGGGAAACGTTGGGTTTTGGGTTCGCCAAGGTCGGAGAACCTGGTTTTTGGGTGCTCCTGGGCTACTTCAACTCTGGGGGTGCGTCCGGGGGCACCCATGGGTGCCACTGCCCATGGGGTCGAGCTCGAGGGCCATTCGTTGAGGGCAACGTTGGGTTTTGGGGTGCTCCAAGGTCGAAGAACCTGTTTTTTGGGTGCTCCTGCGCTACCTCAACTCTGGGGGTGCGTGCGGGGGCACCCATGGGTGCCAGCGCCTACGGGGTGGAGCTCGAGGGCCATTCGTTGAGGGCAACGTTGGGTTTTGGGGTGCTCCAAGGTCGAAGAACCTGTTTTTTGGGTGCTCCTGGGCTACCTCAACTCCGGGGGTGCGTCCGGGGGCACCCATGGGTGCCACTGCCCACAGGGTGGAGATTGAGGGCAGTTCATTGAGGGAAACATTGGATTTTGGGGTGCTCTGAGGTTGGAGAACGTGGTTTTGGGGTGATCTTGAGTGGGAGATGTTGGTTTTGGGGTGCCCCAGGGTGGGTCTATGGGTCTGGGGGTGCCCTCAGGATGGGTGCTGGGTGTCCCCAAGATGGGCACCCACATTTGGGGCACCCCCATCCGGAAGATTGAGGGCAGTTCATTGAGGGAAACATTGGATTTTGGGGTGCTCTGAGGTTGGAGAACGTGGTTTTGGGGTGATCTTGAGTGGGAGATGTTGGTTTTGGGGTGCCCCAGGGTGGGTCTATGGGTCTGGGGGTGCCCTCAGGATGGGTGCTGGGTGTCCCCAAGATGGGCACCCACATTTGGGGCACCCCCATCCGGATTATCCCCAACTTGGAGAATGCCTCATGGTCAAGGTCTACTTGTGGAGATGCCCCAACTTGGGTTTGGGGTTCTGGGGGTGCCCCTAGGTTGGGTCTATGGGTCTGGAGATGCCCCTGGGTTGGGTCTATGGGTCTGGGGGTGCTCCTAGGTTGGGTCTATGGGTCTGGAGGTTCCCCTGGGTTGGGTCTGTGGGTCTGGAGGTGCCTCTGCTTTGGGTCTATGGGTCTGGGGGTGCCTCTAGGTTGGGTCTATGGGTCTGGAGGTGCCTCTGGGTTGGGTCTATGGGTCTAGGGATGCTCCTAGGTTGGGTCTATGGGTTTGGAGGTGCCTCTGGGTTGGGTCTATGGGTCTAGGGGTGCTCCTAGGTTGGGTCTGTGGGTCTGGAGGTGCCCCTGGGTTGGGTCTATGGGTTTAGGAATGCTTCTAGGTTGGGTCTATGGGTCTGGAGGTGCCTCTGCGTTGGGTCTATGGGTCTGGAGGTGCTCCTAGGTTGGGTCTATGGGTCTGGAGGTGCCAATGGGTTGGGTCTATGGGTCTGGGGGTGCCCCCCGGATGGGTGCCCCCCTTTTGGGTGCCCTGACCCCCCATTCCCCACAGGCTTCGTGGGCTTCGCCCCCGCCATCGCCCGGCTCGTGGAGCGCTGGAAGTACCGGGATGACGATGACGACCAGCTCTTCTACACCCGCCTCTACCTGGACCCCCGGCTGCGGGTGAGAGGGGGACTCCAGGGACCCCCGGGTGCCCCCCAAGTCACCCTGGGCTCCCCCAAGTAGAAAAACCCCTTGTTGTCCCCTTGTTTGGGTCACCCAATGCGTTGAGAGTCACCCAATGCGTTGAGTGTCGCCCAATGCGTTGAGCGTCACCCAATGCTTTGAACCTCACCCAACACATGGAGTGTCACCCAGTGCATTGAGCGACACTCAACACATTTAGCGTCACCCAATGTTTAGAGCATTGCCCAATGCATTGAGCGTCACTTAGCACGTTGAGCGTCACCCAGCGCGTTGAGTGTTTCCCAATACATTGAGCATCACCCAATACATTGAGCATCACCCAATGCGTTGAGTGTCACCCAGTGCGTTGAGCGTCACCCAACGTGTGGAGTGTCACCCAACGTGTAGAGCGTTGCCCAATGTGTTGAGTGTCGCCCAATGCGTTGAGAGTCACCCAACATGTAGAGCGACACCCAGCTTGCTGAGTGTCACTCAATGCGTTGAGTGTTGCCTAATGTATTGACTGTTTCCGAACTTGTTGAGCATCACCCAATGCGTTGAGTGTCACCCAACATGTAGAACGACACCGGACGTGTTGAGCGTCACCCAATGCGTTGACTGTTGCCCAATGCGTTGATTGTTTCCTAATGCGTTGAGTGACACCCAAAACATTGAGAGTCACCCAACCTGTAGAGCGTCACCCAATGCGTGGAGTGTCACCCAACGTGTTGAGCGTCACCCACCATGTTGAGTGTCACCCAATGCTATGGGGAGCACCCAAATCCTGCTGACTCAGGAGACCCCCCCCCAAATATTCCTGACCCCCCCCAGGCGGAGCTGGGGATGGCCCTGGATCACGGCTCCCAGATCTTCCAGAACCTCAACGGGGCCATCGGTGAGGGGGG